TTGTTATGCTAAAGGGGTGGAAAAAAATCTATTCACATTTGCAAACATTCTCTCAAAATCAATACTCAAACAAAATGAGCTATGAGTCTCCTAGTAAAGATGAGGCTATCTGACCTGCTAAATCACATTAGCAGTCACAGTAGGAGTATATAACCTAGCTAGATAAATGATTTTAATAGAATAATTGTTATTCCTCCACTGCATCACACTTTAGACAGACAGATCCGTGTAAAGCTTATAACTCTCACTGGCAGACTCAGTATCCCAAATCACAAATGAGAAAGCACTCCAAAAGCACAGATGATAATGATCCAAAAATGTATGATTTAAATTAGTGAGCAAACACTTTAAGTCTTAAGCAGATACGGGAATACAAATTACGGCCAAAAAATCGAATCATGCAAAATGATTAATGTGCTAAGAAGGCAAACTTAGCAACAGACATCTGCAGAAGACTGTTAAAAAAAAGGCATAAGCTAAAAATAAATACTAAGATTTCATAAAGTGATAAGCAAATCCACACATTAAGATATGGAGATGTGGAAGATCCGGTCACAAATCCCTATTGATGGTCTCCAGGAATCACTTGACTGCCTCCTTACTGCTCAACAGGTCAGAATCCCCCCTTCCTTCCACTCAGGAAGAAATCACAGCCTTACACACAGAAATATATCCCTCTACCTGAGTGTATATTCTGCCCATTTATGCTAACAGAACCCAGAGATTAAACCTCTCTCTGTTAGAGCTTTAAACAGGCAACAGACAGTCAGCTAGTGCCATACCAAACACAGCCCCCTAGTCTCTGCAGAGATGAAGTCAAACTGCTCCAGCTGATTTGCAGGGTTTAAGCCAATCCATTTTACTACCCTACTGCAAACATGAGAAAGCTGACACATCAGCTGAGCCATGCCAACCAGCAACAACAGCGACTCCTTAAAATATCTGATGGCTTGAGATTTCCTGTCTCAAATTATAACCGCTATTTAGCTTTTACACTTCAAAAGAAGTACCAATGAGGATACTTCACCTTCAGACAGGCACCTGCACAGAAGAACTCGGCAGACCTTTACAAACCTGCAAACTCTGAAAAAAATAAAATTATAGGGTAAAAACATAGTAACCAATCTCCTTAACAACTCAGATCATTATGAAAGCATGTCCTGGGCTCCATCCTGAATCCCTGATCAAGGCGCCAGCCCTGCGGCGTTCAAAGCACTCCTCAGAGCCGGCTCCAGGGAGATCTTCTCCCACTTCCCCATCCTGGTCACCCACAACAGCAAGGGTCAAAGGCAGAGATCTGTTAGGGAATATCTCATGAATGGAGACCTGTCAAGGCCTGTGTATTAGGAACAAGCACTTATATCTCACTTGCAGGCACATACCCCTTGGAGGGAGTGTGGGAGCATCTCTGCCATAGGTCAGCTACAGCAAAACTCCCCCTGCCTCAGGATCACACGCGTC